AAGGTAAAACTCATTTTTTCACAATTTCCTTGCAAACCTCCAGGTTGCCCCAAAATAACAATCTGCAGTCCCTAACGCAAAGACGCCACGAGCTCCCGCTTTAGGGGAACGCTTCGGGATACACTCGCAAATGTTTAGGACAAGTTCCAGGCTTACCTGGGATTTAAACTGAGCTCTGTCAGGTTTGATATTGAAAATGATGCAAAAAATTAGAAAATTAAACTATCCTTTGCAACAAAAGGTAACCTCAGTTTGAGAAACTTTACACGGAAGTTAGGCCTGAGCACGCAACTGAAGGAAAGCAGCAAATATTATACCCAGCTATAAGGACGGATATGTTTGGGCTCTTGAATGACTTTAAAAAAAAAAAAGCAGCAACCAAACCAAACCAGCAAAGATTCTTGAACTGAAATCATAAATTAAAGAAAATATATTCAATCTCTTGTCTACTTAACAATATATTTACTTGCTTAAAGAAACGGAGAGCAAAGAAAACCTTATTTTGCTAATACAATTTCAGCCAGTGTTTCGGATGATAACAGGTCCGGAATCTAAATTAACGTGTTGTATCTTTACATTAAATAGTCTGCCAAACTCGGGCATGAGAACAGCTCCTAAATATCCCCGCAAAAAAAATTACCCCAAAACAAAGAAAAAAGGAGTCACCGGCTCAAGGTGGCATAAAGTCAGAGGAAGAAAACTGAATTTTGAGTCTTTTAAACGTTATTTTATTGGTCCTCCTCAGAGTCCTACTTGGCTGTAACTCTTTTACTATGCAGAAATGAATTCTACCTTGCACCCTCTGCACTGCATCTATTATTTTGATGCCTGCTCCTCCAATATGGGAGTACATATACCGAAGGCAGTAATATTCTTAGCTCCCCCCAGTTAAAAACATAGAAGGTTTGAAAATACCTGTGAAGAAGTCCCCAAGTAAAATAGTATTTCTCAGTTATTTTTCTTCCCCAAGATATTATTTTTGTATTGGCTGCAAGGTAGAGCTAATGTATTTGAAGTATTTGGGAAAGTTAGTCTAGTCATAAGCAGTCAATGCCCTAAACAACCCACCCACCCTCAGATATGCTATATATTGCGTTGCAGTTTATGATTCTTTCTTTGTAAAGAATACATTTTAAGTAATTTTTCCATTTTTAAAAAAGCTGTCTAGCCGCATTTTCTTTAGAGAAACTCTGCAACTGCGCACATTAAAAAGAATCTATTGCAACATAAATAGAAGTGTTGCTTTATTATATACATATATATATGATATACTATCACCCCAGAAGGGCCATCTAAAACGCCACAGTTGCAAACATTTAAGACTGTAACAAAAATGACTGAGGCTCTAGTATCAGTTTACTATCCTTCAACAATTTCCCTGACAGTGGAGTCAAATAATGTTGAATTATGGACCTTCTTACAGGAAATCTTATTTCATGTTCATTTTTTGATAATTTCCCTCCTAGTCCCTATAGAAATTTGGCTCTTTGACGATTTGCCTTTAAAAGTTTCTGTGCACATAATTGGCTTGTGCATTATTAAATTGTAATTTTTGTCAAGTAATACTACTGTGGATTTGCTCAACAAGTTTATTTTCTATAAGAAAATACTGTTTTGTTCCTATAAAATCTATCTTATGCTGCTAATGTACTTTATTTGGGTGCGGTGGCTACTTTATACCGTGTTTTCCTCAACGGGCTTTCTAACGGCTTTCTGTAGACGTGCTCTTGCAGGGGAATTTTACAGTTCGGACAAGAGCACCTGGGTGCCAAGGTGATGCAGCTTCAAGAAAACAGCCCCACGGTAATAGTTTAGGACTACCTAAGAAAGTGAAGTTCTGCTCTCTGACTACAGAGAGTCTTTGGGCTTTTTTTTAATCGGAGGGAGTTTCCCCATCCGCATCACGCAACAGCTGTGTTTTAAATCTTTCCGGGCTCCGACAAACATTTGAAAATTTAAACATGCAAATGTTTGAAAAGCTAATGATTAAAAAAGGTTTATTTTGAAACTTAGAGCATGAGCGCAATCCTCCAGCTAGGCTTTTTAAAGTCTCAGGGTCTGGCTGATCTCGAGTTCAATTATCCCCAGCAAAAACCCCAAACTCCTGCTTTGTACTTCTGGAGCCATAGCGGTAAACAACAACTCTGCAGGTCCCACCCTGGCAGGCAGCGGGGTCGCGCCCGTGGGAGAAGGATGCTATTTTAGTGACCTATTGCCACTGAGCTAGTTAAATCACTGAACAATAGTTAGTGTTATGGGGCTTTACTTTGCAAAATCTAGCATTAGCGTCATTGCTTTCCATTAACCGGGGGACTTAAAGGCACTGGCATTGAGGGGCCTATAAGGAAAGAATAAATAAGGGGAAACCAATAAATTAAAAAAAAACAAAACCCAACCCTGTTAACTGTAACCTTTACTACCACAATATAAGAAAATGTAATTAAATCCATAATAAAAGCTTTTACATACTTACTCTTTTACTACTCTCAGAAGCGCAGCCGTGGGCAGGCTGAGGGACAGCCCGCCCGGCCTCGCACCCGGCAGCCAGCCCCTTGCTCCCGCCGCCCGGCCCTGCGCGCCCGCGATTCCATAAACCCGCGCGGCCATAAACGCGCACCGCGGAGGGACATCCTAATTAGCCGCCCCAGCGACAAGCACTCAACACCTTATTACTTAACCATTAGGGCCCTGATACTGCCGGCCTCACCGGGGCCGGACTTGGCAACGGAGTTCACCGGGGGCGCGGGCGGCCACGCATCCCCCGGTAAAACACCCCCCACCCAACCCCACGCCGCGCAACTTCCGCGGCCCCCCTTGCGCCGCCCGGCCTCCGCGGGTTTTATCCGCCGCCTCGTCGGCCGGGCGGGGCGGGGGGGAAGAGGGGCGTAAAAGCGCATTTTTGCGCCTTTTCCCTTCGACGGGGAAAGCCAAGCCCCGCTGCCCGCGCAGCTCCGCGGCTGCGGACGGGTAGCGGCGGCGGGGCTGCGCT